ACGGAGCTTGTATCAAAGTTTTGAGTAAATGCAGCAACCCAACAAACAGAGTGTTTGATGAGCCGAGAGATTCATTTGTGGGTACCGTTTCCCCACAGTATAGCTTTAGATTTGTCGGTCTTTTATCTTCCAAGTAAATCTAGTTGCCATCACAGTTTTCCACCTAACAAATGTAGCATAAAAAGAAACGTTAGCGAACTTTCTGGTGTATTTCGTCCTGAATCGATATGAATAAAAATGTAAGGTACTTTATGTGGTGATTGCTCATGAACTATGAACTCTTTGGTTTTATTGAAGGCTAAAACTGAAGTCGAAAGCTATCTTGAACGGTTCGAGATTTGGTCTATTACGAGGAAATGATTCGATGGAAAACGCAAAACCGCTTATTTCCTAACGGTCATCGGAAAGATGCACACTCATTGCTGAAGAATTTGGCATTTCCTGACTCTCCTATATCGTTTTCGTATGAAGCCCTGAAAACCTTGCTGCTGAAGCATCTACAACCGGCTATTTTTGAAGCTGCTGAATGAGCCAAATTTCATTCACTCACACGTGGTGGAAGCCAACCTGTGCGTGACTTTATTCTTCAACTTCAGACTCACGTATCTTGTTGCAACTTCGGAGATCAATTGAAAACCCAGTTACGTGATCGATTAATTGCCGGTATTAATTGCCCGGAATTGCAGCAAAAGCCCCTGCTCATGTACGATTGCACATTTCAGTTGGCTACGGCAGTGAGCCGTACCAAGACGTCCGTGTCATTATTTGTGATGAGCCTAACTTGTTGTTCAATGCCAGCAATTCCAAACGGTCATCATCTAGACGAAAGCAATTTTTCGAAAATGTCTCAAAAACACCAAGCAACATCAGTTCTCCAACCCACAATGACCAACAGATTAAAAGATGAAACAAGTGCAATTCCTGTGGTCAAAGACATTCGCGGCTATCCCGTAAATTTCGAAATGCACTGTCACAATTGCGGTAAGCTTGGCCATATCCAATCTGTCTGTAAAAGTGCGAAGTCGTGTCTTACCAAACGTACGACTGTCCATTCATCTAAAGATTTATTGTGTGATTTAGTCCTTAACTCTTGCCAGTACCAACCCACGTCCCTCTCGCCATATTACTCGCGACTTCATCATTAATGAGTCCATTCGCCATACATTCATTGTGGACACCGGCAGTGTTGATTCTTTCATTTCCAACAAGGTATTTCTTCAGTTGAACCCCCCAGTTGCACATTCCCAAACAGATATTTCAATTAAGGGAATTACCGGTCATTTTTTGCCCGCCTTAGAATCATGCGAACTGCTTCTTAGAGATGATAAATCACAAACATTTCACTGCCCGTTTTTGGTTATTGATTCCCACATTTCTATAATTGGTTTGAATTGCATGAATCGTGTGCATCTGTCATTTTCATTCATGTTTGACTCCCATCAATCACGCCTTTATCACTTAGTACTTGAATGTTCCAAGGCAAAGGGTAGTATCAAAATGACTCCTGGGAGTCTCAAACTGACCGGTTCTCCGGTGTTTATGAAACTTGGACTTCGTGAGCCCGTAAAAAAGGCGTTAGATGAAATGGTAAGCAAGGGAGTTCTGACACCCGTAAAATCTTAGGCTTGGGCCACGCCAATTGTTATTTCACTAAAAACGGACGGGAAGACTCCTAGGAAATGTGGGGATTATCGAGTTACTGTGAACAGACACCTGAAACAGTCTAGTTATGCCACCGTCGAACCAGAAGACATTCTGCACCAACTTCATGGATCCAAATTTTTCTCTAGTCTAGAGTTGAAAGATGCATTTCTTCAAATTCCTCTTGATGAAAAGTCCCGTGAACTCACGACTATTACCACACCTTTTGGTTTATTTCGCTACAACTTTCTACCGTTTGGATTCAGTGTTTCCCCCGCTATTTTTCAAACTGCTATTAATTCCATCATTTCTGGCTTTCAAGGTGTATGTGCCTATCAGGACGATATTATTATTCAAGCGCCTAGCAGACACTTACATGACGAACGTTTGAGTGTTTTGTTTGAAAGATTCCGTTCTCATATTGTTTCTGTTAACCCTGATAAATGTGCCTTTGCTACGACTGAACTTTCTTGTTTAGGTTATTTGGTTGATGAATCCGGATTTCTTCCTGACCCTTATAGATTATCTTCGTTAACTAATGCTCCATCTCCCAAGTCATTCCATGAACTTCGTTCTTTAATTGGGTCTTTACAATTCCAAATTTATCCCTAACTTTTAACCCAAGCTGCTCCATTGTTCGATTTACAGTCACAGCAAACATTTTGGCGGACTTCGGTCCATGAACGTGCCTTGAGGAATGTACTTTCCTTTTTATCTACCATTGCTGTTTTACGTCCTTTCTCCCCACGATTACATTCTACCGTCATCACGTATGCATCGTCCGTTGGAATTGGAGCTGTGTTGGAGCAGAATGGTCATACGGTACTGTGCATCCCACGCAGACTCACGGCTGCCGAACGTGGGTATTCCCAAACTCAACGAGAAACACTAGCTGTCTATTGGTCTGTCACGCGTATGCACAAGTATCTTTATGGTACTCATTTCACTACTGTGGATGATCATAAAGCCCTGCAGTTCATTTACAACCCTCAACCTTCCCTGGTTAAGTCATCTGCAGCCGTGGTACAATGATGGAGTATTGCGTTATCCGCCTATTCCTACGACATCCATCATCTTGTCTTGTGCTACAACAATCGCATTATCGTACCTCCGATATTACGTACTGCTATTTTCAATGATTTACATTCCGGTCATCTCGGCATTGAAAAGAAGAAATCTCTTGCTTGTCTCACATGCTGGTGGCCTGAAGTGAATCATGATCTGAATCGTGTTGCGGAATCCTGTGCTGAACGTGTGCACAAAACTCACAGACAGCTTTCGAAATGGACTCCTTGGCCAGTATCATCCGAATCATGGCAAAGAATACATGTGGATTACTGTGGTCTATTCTTCAGCAAGTATTACGTATTGGTGATCGTCGATTCCTATTCCCGTTGGCCAGAAGTGTACTTTGCCACAACTCCCAGTTCAGAATTTACTATTCGAGCACTCAGGAAAAGGTTCAGTAGAGAAGGTGTCCCGCATGCTATCGTGACTGATAGTGAAAGTCATTTCACTGCCAAGAAACTTAATGATTGGTTGAATTCCGTGAGTTGTCGGCATGTTCTCACTCCCTCCCGACATCCGCAATCCAATGGGGCAGGCGAAAACTTTGTACGCACGCTGAAGAGTGCCATTGCTTCTTTGAATCCCAGTACATTGGAAGAACTGGACAGAGGCGTTGATAACTTTCTGATGCAATACCGTAACGCAGTACATTCAACCACGGGACACAGTCCAGCAAAGCTGTTCAAGAGTCGAGTACTTCGAACAAATCTTCTACTCCTGGAGTCTGCGGAAGTCGTGTATCATCGTAGTAACGATTTACGACCCTCCAGGGGCATTGTACTGGACAATATATGACAAAGAGTATGTCGCATGTTGGATCTAGATGATGGCACTGTACATCGCAGACACGTAGACCAAGTAATTTGTAATTTGCTCAATTCTGATACTAGTTGTGAACATGTTAATCCTGTTATTCCTGAGTCTTTTCCAGAGGAATTACATCCCAGTACAAATGTCGAAAACATTACTGAAGAACCCAGAAGATCTGAACAATTACTCAACAAAGCCCGCCGTGATTACAGAAGACCGGAGCTTCATTCAAGCTGCGGCGGATGTGGTGATTGCTCATTAACTATGAACTCTTCTGTTTTATTGAACACGATATCCTTGTATATTCCTAATTTCCGCCTATTTCAATTCCATTCCGCCTCTGAGTTGACTTCGGATTTCGTTTCTAGTCCTAGTTTTGAGTCGGACTATTAGTGCGTGGAATCGGATACGTATACGAAATACTAGTCCAAGTACGGACCACTACACTTTATTATTCTTTTATCCCCCTAAAGAATAAGCTGTCTTTAATGCTCTCAAATTTAAATTTTAGACGATTTTGACCCTGTGTAGTTATCAGATAGTTACACTCGGCCACTTTTGTGAACGTTTTTCCTGAAACAGGAAAAATGAATGTCATTTATCCTGACTTCAACGAATACAACTTTTCACCACAGGCTTCATCTTGACTCCGTAGACTATTGTTCACTGTTGAATAATAAGCACAGAAGCACAAAATGACTTATAATATTTTAGCGATTGATATTTTGACTTAATAAAACTTGTTATGCGGTTTCACTGATCTCAAATGAATTACATTTTATTCCATATTAGCCCTCACATGACTTAGCCACCACATTCAAAGAGCTTTTATCCGGACCGTTTTGAACCTTTAACTTTAAATATGCCGTGTTGCTGCTAGCAACAAACTAGTATTTTTCTGTTTTGTTGTCTCAAAATCATTGGACTTGCCATTCACTTCGTCCACGGTATTACAAAGTGCTGCATAATCCTCGTTGCATTTGGTTCCGTAGTCAATCTGTAAACAATAATTGAAAATCAGCATGTCAAAGATGAGGAGATAACCATTAAATAAAATAACAACCGGCACGCAATGCTATAGAAGAATCTGATGTATGATTGCTCCAGCTGTATAGAGGGTAAAGAGTGTATCACTACCGCTGGTTATTGTGAACAAGCATTCCGTTCCCTTTTGTAACGTTTGTCCACTCTGTGGTACTACAATCGATACGTCATCGCTTGTAACTGTTTCTGCTTGTGTGCCACAAATAGTCTCATCATGCGCGGCTTTCGCCATTGGAAAAAAGGAATCCAGGGTTTATCAAGTCCATGAGTGTGAAATTATGTTCATAAACTGACCACAGATACAAATTTATTAATTTTAAAAATTTAATAACCTGCATGTGGTACACAGAAATGCACCGTATATCAGCATTGCCAGGCGTAAAGGAACCCAAGGGGATCGTTATATTAATCACCTGAAGCAAACGCGGTGTACTTTGATGGAACAGATACGGCCTATTTATGAACGGGAGTTTGTCGACTACAATCCCTCGGACGAAACGATGCCCTTAGAAGATCGGAAAGCACTGTCGATCGTGGAGAACGCCACAATAATGTCAGACGGACACTTGGAGGTTCCGATTCCGTGGAAGGAACAACCTAGGAGCCATCCGAACAATTACACTATTGTGATCAGACGACTGCACAGCTTGAAGTCGAGACTTTAACGAGAACCCTTACTCGCACAGGGATGTCATAATGTCATCAATCATCACCTTAGCTCGGGACACATTGAGGAAGTTCCGATCGCAACCGCCCAAGATAGTTTGCGTTGGTACCTGCCCCATCATCCAGTTCTAAATCCAGCGATACCTGGGAAAGTGAGAGCGGTTTTTGATTGCGCCGCAAAGTACAAAGGCATTTCCCTGAACGACTTCCTCTATCAAGGCCCAGATCTGACATCGAACATGACCGGGGTTTTTTTTGAGATTTCGACGCGGCCCAGTGGCGGTAGCAGCGGACATCGAAGAGATGTTTATGCAGATCCGTATCCCGAAACCTGAGAGAGGAGCATTCCGGTTTATGTGGTGGC